ACAACTTAACTTAACTTACTTGTACTTTACTTTACTTTACTTTACTTTACTGACTGACGCGATAGCAATATATCTGCGCTACGCGCAGATACAAAAACAGAAGAGTCTTATTTTGTAAATTATTTATTAATAAAAGAAAACTAAAAGAACGAAGAATCAGGATAGTTTAAACTTATCTGTCTATTGACAATGACACAGCTTTGCTTTTCAGACTTTGTCCTTTTACACTTTATAATATAGTTCCTTTCCTTTAAGTCTTTACCACGACACTAGACGGGTTCAGATTCAACTTCCACTACCACTACCGCTACCTTTGACGGCTCCATTGGTAGCGGTCGCGACGGACTGTTTAGACCTGTTCAGATTAGACTTTTCCCGACGACCATAAATCGCTTTGTTACGGTCCCAAAACAAAAACATGCGACGATTTCCTCACGCTCTTGCAGTTACTGCGCATGCGTAACACATTTAAGGTAGCGGTAGTGGTAATGGAAGTCAAATCTGAACCTCTCTAATAACTCCAACAATATCAAATTCTTCTTCTTGAACAACAACAACAACAACAACAACTATTTCTAACCTTTTTAATTCTAAAAACTAGCTTAAGCTTTCGCTGCTTATATACTGTCCGCAAGATATTAATCGAACATTACATAAATACTATTTTTAGATATTACATATACGATAAATATAGCAAAAGCATGAATCAGCACAATGACGTAATGTCTTAAATGAATAATGTTCATGACGTGACTGACTTCACGTGACATCACATGTGAGATTATCATAAATAATCTCACATGTGAGATTATCACTTTTACCAGTGCTCGAAATCTCTATAAAGCACTATACTTTATATAATATATACATTTATTAGACCTAACCAAGAACAGAAGCGAAAAATGGAACTTTAGGTCCCTGACAGGAATCGAGCTAGAGTTAGAACGGTACACCGGAATCGCAAAAACCTTCTTTTGGATACTTTTAAAAACTTTCTTTAACTCTGTGAACTGACCTGATACTCTGATGAGTTTATTTCTCAGCTGTACGGATATACAAGGAACTATGACGCCTTCATCTGTGTGATACTCACGGCCAGTGTGTTCCAACGGTGCCACAACTATAACGCAAACAGAAAGTATTCATATATACAAAAACTCTTCAGATAAGGTGAAGTTTCGCTAAAAGCGAGGGTGAGATTTGATGAGAGTTGCAACTCTCACTTTGCGTTTAACCATCGTTTTAATCTGGTATAAATTTTGATGAGAGTTTTCGCTACGCCCGCGGTAATATCTAGTTAACTCTCATCAACTCTCATGCAACTCTTGTTCTCGTTTGACCGGGGCATGAGATTTGAGAAGCGAGAGTTTACATGAGAGTTTTCTCAACTTTCATTGCTTGATCAAACGAGAACAAGAGTTGCATGAGAGTTGACAAGCGAGAGTTTACATGAGAGTTTTCTCAACTTTCATTGCTTGATCAAACGAGAACAAGAGTTGCATGAGAGTTAACAAGCGAGAGTTTACATGAGAGTTTTCTCAACTTTCATTGCTTGATCAAACGAGAACAAGAGTTGCATGAGAATTGAGAAGCGAGAGTTTATATGAGAGTTTTCTCGACTTTCATTGCTTGATCAAACGAGAACAAGAGTTACATGAGAATTGAGAAGCGAGAGTTTACATGAGAGTTTTCTCAACTTTCATTGCTTGATCAAACGAGAACAAGAGTTACATGAGAGTTGACAAGCGAGAGTTTACAAGAGAGTTTTCTCAACTTTCATTGCTTGATCAAACGAGAACAAGAGTTGCATGAGAAGCGAGAGTTAACATGAGAGTTTTCTCAACTTCTATTGCTTGATCAAACGAGAACAAGAGTTGCATGAGAGTTGAGAAGCGAGAGTTTACATGAGAGTTTTCTCAACTTCTATTGCTTGATCAAACGAGAACAAGAGTTGCATGAGAGTTGAGAAGCGAGAGCTTACATGAGAGTTTTCTCAACTTCTATTGCTTGATCAAACGAGAACAAGAGTTGCACCAGAGTTGAGAAATACTTGAGAGTTGGGAAGGTTTGTGGTATAGGGGTAAGTCAAAAGGGATAAGTGTATTTTGTAAAAAGGGAGAGTGGTCTCGAGCAGTTATATCCAACTCTATTGTTTATATTTCTTTTTCATTTTTATTTCAGCAACTAAGTGATTTGCGAGAAGACAATCAAAGACTAAAAGACGAGAACGGTGCACTCATCCGAGTTATTAGTAAATTATCGCGAACTCCTACGTGAGTGTCGCGCGAGAAACTCGCGAGACCGCCGGCCCGCGTGGAATGCGCGTGTGTGTGCAAATTTAAAACTATTTCTTGTGTTTGGGACATTTTTGTTGTGGTCGCGACCAAAGGCAGGAACTTTAGAAATTTTTTTCATTACTGGCGCTCGTCGCTGGAAATTTGCGCACTGATTGTTAATTAAGACGCCCAATATGCGCGCCGGATGTCTAGGCGCAAATAATGCATCCTCTGACCTCGCCCTTATACCTGCTTGCGCGCATTTGGCCGCAGCACGTGTATGGGCGGTTGGAAAGCAGCTAACGCGCGTTAATTCTAATTCGAATGTTTGGACCGCCATTTTCAATAAGATTGTGCAATTTATGCAAATTTTACAATTTGATCTATTCAAATTTGAACGAATATTTTGAATGCGAATTACGTAAATGCTGTCCAAATATGCGAATTGTGATTTGCGCATCAGCGTGACTGTTGAAAAGACGGAATTTATTCAAATGTATCACACTGCGCCAACATTGTGAGAACTAGCAGAAGACATTTTTGGCGCGCGCACTAGTACAGTGGCTTGCGCTTATATTATATTAACTTGAAATATTTTGTATGTGTAAATAAATGGTATTTTTCGTAAATGTGTACTGTGTTATTGAATCACTCTTAGGGTACATTGGTTCTGTACGCTACACCCGTAAAAATCTCACAATTTGTCAACAAGATGTGTGCGCAACAGGCTTGTAGCGAGCTTATCAACAAGTCGTAACAATGCAGTTATTTTATCAAGTTGCTACAAGGTTGTCACTCACAACTTGTCGGCAAATTGTGGAATTGCAGGACGATAACAAGTTGTTGGAACAACTTGTAACAAGTCTGTTGAGCTCAACAACCGCGTAACAAGTTGTCAACAAGCTGGGAACAAGCAGTGCGAACACATCCTGTTGCCAAGTTATTGGAACAGCATTGCCACAAGTCTGCTGCAGGTTCGTTACAACTTGTGTGTTTTTTACGTGTCTATTGACTGGATCACAGATTAAGAATATCCATACTTCGTATAAACCTACTAGTAGGCTATCACATATCGTGCCTTCTGATTGGCTACGCTACTAGTAGGCTATTAGTGATAGCCTACTAATAGAAATTCAAAATGGCGGAAAATTCGCGTTTGCACTTTTGCCGAAGTGTCTGATGATTTTTTGGACGTCTTGTTGAAAAATTCTGTACTAAAAACCCCCCAAAAAGCAACAAAAATATGGAATAAATTATGCAATTTTTTAACAAAAATATGCAATTTTTAAGGGTAAGAAAACTGACAAAATAACATACACTCGATAAAATTTTAAAATTAAAACTGAGTTTTGTAAAACATTTTACGCGAACGAAAACTAAAATATTTGTTTACCTTTAATGGTTTTATAATGGGGTTTTTTGGTATTTTTGTATTGTGTTTGCAGCCTAGTTGTAAATTAATGTTACAGTTTATACTAAAACAATTAGACAACTCGGTCTCGTTGTCTAATTAGCGAGGTTTAGCAAAGACGACGCGACGTGAAAGACGACGTGAAAATGGCGTAAAAATGGCGTAGGCACATCCATAGATGGGCATATCACGCCATTTTTACGCCATTTTCACGTCGTCTTTCACGTCGCGTCGTCTTTGCTAAACCTCGCTATTGTTAATTAATGAGGGCCCCCTATACTTTTTGCGTGAAGCGTGAAGGGCTTATTTTACTTAGCCGTGAAACGTGATCGATGATTTTCTTAATCCGTGACTCGTGAAAAGGCAAAATATTTTTACGTGAAAGCATATTGTGAAGAGGTATAGGGGGCCCTCATTGGGTAAAAGAGAATAATCAGTAAGGCCTATTGACGACATTTTACAAGAGAGTAAAGGTAAAACATAGCAATTTTACATGTAAGAGGTACGCTAAAACGATTTTCGGTAAAAAAAGTCGCGCCTCTTAATTAAACACTTTGAAATGCACATATTTAATGCTTTCAGTCTGGGCTACATGAATTGGGTGGGGTATACAGTCATTTAACACCAAAATTAAATCGTTTTCAGTGAACCACCTTGAGTTGATCGACAATGATATGGCGCTGGCAAACGGTAACGACTTGAGGGTGTATTTCCGAAAAGATGAAGACTGCAGACCAAGAGAAATTGATCGAGTCTTGGAAAATATCACCACAACGAAGACCAGAGTTTTGTTCAGACTTCAAGAAGACTTGAGCGAAACTGTTCGTGATGGATCCGCTTACTACTTAGTTTATGGTAACGCCATACGACGTATTTCTCTATTTTATAGTCCCAACCTCTAATATATAACTAAGGTACACTCAGAAACTACTTTTTAATTTACACCGCGTTCTGTTATATTTTTCCAGGAAACAAAGACGCCGGCAAAGCCAAACAAAATCCAGAAAATGTCTACTTATTCTACGACGATTTTTCCGACTCAAACCTGGAGAAAAGGTGGCAGAAAAACTGGGGCGATATTGATGCAGAAAACGGTGTGTTGAAATTAAAAACTGGCCAAACTCCAGACAAAAATGCGGCTGGGATTTCAATTCTAATTAAAGACGGCCATGAATGGGAAGATATCGAGGTAGAACTAGATTTTAATGAAATAAAGAATGATGTCGCACCAGGGCCGCTTCTGAGAGTTCAAGACGCGAGGATTCAGAGCACCACTGCTTGGTGGTTTGAATATGTAACAGGAACCAAAGGTTGTACCATGCGACCATACAAAAACAGCAAGGACGGAGGTTGGTTATACCAGGGCACTTTAAATGAACCGTTGCTCCAAGGATCTTGGAATCACGCTAAATATCGAGTAGTCGGTGACAGGTTTGTATCTTAAGCTTAGTTTCCATATGGTCGTGTTGTAATAGTCGTCAGAGTAGTGTTCGAGATCAATTGCAAATGGAAACATGTCACGCGACATGCTGCAACAGTTGACGACAGTTACAACACAGTGTCCCTGAGATAGAGTCGAGTTCTGTTGACAAAACTTTTGAGTATCCATACAGTAAAATTCTAACGAACTTTGCATGCCGCCCACAAAAATTAGGGCTCAGAAGTAGTAAGTGCCCTTTTTAAATGACTGCCCCTGCCACGCTGCTCCCTCTCCCCCCCCCCGCCCTGGAACAGCTTCAAACTGATAGAGCTGTTCAGCATAAGATATTTCAGTATAAGATTTAGCTCATTTTTGCTGTCTAGGTTTTCGCACTGGGTGAACAATCAGCTCCTTCACGACAATGTAAAGGTTTCGACGCAGTGGATGATTACCAAAGGCACCTTGGGTTTGGGTTGTCATAGCGGTCAAAATGGATGTTATACATTGTATGATAACATCAAAATAACAAAGTACATCCCTGTTTTGCCAACTGTATCTCTAGGTAAGTTCGTTGTAAGCGCCTCATAATTCTGCCTTCCTTCCGTCATCTTCCAACTCGGCAGTCCCATGTAAATAATTAGTTTGGTTTGACAATGACCCTGAAATAGATTCGAAATATCACCACCAAAATTTATGTCTTGTTTTCTTATAACTCATATATTTAACAATTTAGCGCTGAAATTTCTGATATGGTGTATTTTGGAACGGTACAATTAAGTCCGACGTCAAAATTAATTGCCGAACTTGTGCGGTATTTAATCTTATTAGGTTCGGAGCATGAAAAATTAAGCCTGTTTGACACTATCAAAGTTTCTGTGATCACAGTATATCAGTAGGAATTTTGCATAGGTAAATTTGCAAGAAATGTTCGAGGGAACCACTCAATTAAAACTAGGTACTTAGTCCGTACTTAGAATTTACCTGCTACCTTTTACCTGTCTCCTTCGCGCCCTAGGTGGCACATAAGGCCTCAGCAGCTTTCCTCCATTTCGTCCTGTCCACAGCAGTCACCCTCGCCTCATTCCATGATCTCCATCCAGCCTCGGCCCTTTCTTTCTCCACTGTCCTGCGCCATGTTGTTTTTGGCCTTCCCCCTTTCGTTTCCCTTCTGGTGCGGTCATAGCCACATTCATGAGATCATATCTGTCTTGCCGTAAAATGTGTCCAATCATCTCCCATTATTTCCTCTGCTTCACGTCGCTGCTTAGCGATCTGCAGTTTGCCTGCTTCCGATAATTTACCGATATAAATTTCTACTAATATGGTAAATCCAGAAAACCAGATGTCCTGGGGGAACGGGGTTCGGTATTTAAATGTACTAACATGTATTTCTATAGGGCCTGAATGCAAAGTCGATCTGAAGAAGTTCCACGGGTTGGGCACATCGAAAGCGAATCCTGCAACATCGTGCAAGCAAATACATGATATATTGTTGCAAGATGGAAAACTGGAAAATGGCTTGTATTGGGTCAAGACATCCGCTGATCGCTCAGTACCGACTTACTGTGATCTACTAAATGGCGGGTGGACATTAGTGGGAAAGGTCAGCGGTTTCGCCGACAAACTGTACAGGTTTTGGTTGATAAAGAATTATAATGTGGACGCATTGGATAGTCCTGCTTTGCCAAGGTATATACATCGAGATTCGAGAACAGCCGCCGAAATCCGGCGTACTTTATAACCAAAGGAAGACCGAAAAAACCGTGGCTATATAAGGTATGCTAAAATCCAGCATACTTTATAATCACAAACCGTGGCTATAGTCTAGGACCTGTACGCTAGAATTGGTGGAAAACAAGCTTATAATATTAGATTTTTATTTTTGTTTTTTTTATTGTAGTAAAGTTGGCTGTATTGATGCGCGTTACCTAGCAACCTATCACGCGTCAACTGTGATGTTTTCCAGCGGTGATAACGAAAATGGTATTGGTTCAAAGTGGGTACAATGGCCTCTACCTCAAGGACGAGAGAGTGACAGCCTCTGGACTCACAGTGTTGGTAGAACTACTGTGTCCAAAGCCAGGATGCATCCTGTGACCGTGAAAGCCTGGAACGGGAAGGAACAGGTTTGATATACTAATACTGAACAAATTTGGCTTCAACTAGCATTTCCGACATTACCCTTGAGACCATTCCAGCCAATATTGGAAAGTTAATCCATACAGACAAATTAAGCTTGGGCTATTTCTTCCAGGGCGGAATCAATGACTGCAGTAACTGATACGTGCGATAGTGCCCCATTTACAGAACCAAAAAAGTATTTCTTGAATAAACGCCCTTTTTTGCTGGAAAGAAAGTGCCCTTTTTGCAACAGCTAGTAGGCCACTTCAGACATTATAAAGACTCCATATTTTCAAACATTTTCGTTCGGCTCATGAACGACATAAAATGGTTTGATTTTGGTCATATACAAAAGTGCCCCTTTTGGTCAATGCCCCTGCACTTTCGAAATGCTTCCGAGGCCTCTGCTTCTCAGTTTGGACCGACAACTCTTGGATTCACATTCATTCATCCTTTTTCTTATAGCCGTGCTTCCAAAACAAGTATGGAATCATGCCGTTCCTCCAACATGGCGGCTCGTATCCTTCAGCTACATACAACAAAGCGGGCAATTCGAGGAAGAACGACTACTGCATGTCTGTTGGCGTGCTGAAGACAGGAACAACTGCTGACGGATGGACTCAGAATGGCAATGGATATGATTCTCCTCGGAACAGTTCTGATTGGGCAAATTCGCAGAAAAACCATGTATCACCGTATCTTACAGTGTGGTTAAAATGAAGATATACAAAACAATGAATGATTTCTATTCATGCACCGTTTTCTTAATTAATTTAACATGATTTCCATTTTAATCACGAATAAAAATATTCCGTTAAAGGCAAGGGCAACAAAATTTAAGCATGTTTACACTGAAAGAACTCTGTAGAAAGAAGATATTTCAGTAATTTATTTGAATGTAAATATGATGACGTCACGCTGGGTAAACATTTTGACAGTCCACATTTTGACAGCTCAAAAAATATATATGCAAGATTATAGTCAATGGAATCATCGATACAAACTTAATGATTATTTCGTCTATTTTGAACATAGGGCGTTATGACTTTGGCGTGACTGCAATCTTTGACAATATTTTACCAGCTTGTGCGTCATAGATTTGCAGGGTTGACAGATTGATGTCTTTGTTTCGAACAAAGAAAACAAAAGGTTATGATAATAACATTTGGCTTATTTATTCAGCAATCTGGCAACCCTGATAAATTTGTTTATTTGCATATCGAACAACCTGAAAAATCTCAAGAACGAAAAAGATTAAAAATTAAAGTTGTGAAATGACTTCTTATATAGTTTACAGTTTAACGAGTTCTTCCTGTAGAAACAGACTTGAATTTCATCACCAGTAGCCTTTAAATTATAGTAAATAAAATTATATACAAATTAAGATATAACCACTATTATTTTTCACCCTGCTCGGTTTCTTTTGTTCTTATCGCGAATTATATTCAATATTCCCCTCTAATCAATTTCCCTCTAATAATCCCCTCTAATATTCACCTGCCTACGTGGCGAAATGCCTTTGCAGCACAAAAAATGAGAAAAATCAACATCACGAAGGCAATACGGCATTAAGAATTATTTCTATTCTGACTCATTAACGCGACCTCGCAATGTGAAAAATAAGTACGTAACGTTGTTTTGAGGCACCTCGGGGATGTGTGTTTATTCACCTCGGCGCTGCGCACCTCGGTGAATAAATCACATATCCCCTCGTTGCCTTAAAATAACCTATACAAACACTATAAATTGCATGCTTATAATTTGTATTTTATACTAAGTTGCAATAAAATTTTCGAATGCATTTGACTAGTACGACCTGTTTCCTCACTTAAAGTGCACCTGACATCAATTATTTTTATTATCTCATTCTTAAGAACTTCTGAAATGATATAATAACTTATTTTGAAGATTTTCGTTTGCTCACTTTGTTTCTGAGTTATTTCAGTTGCAAATGTCCGGAATTTACGTCACATATGAATAATGACTTATCAAAGAATGCAAGATACAGTTAAATATCATGAAATAAAAAGGCTAAATGGTGTTTGACATAGGTATACTTAATCCTCCCACAAATCCAAACTTTATTTTAATGAATTAAACTCGATAGTGAATACGATATACAAGCTTTCACTTTAAGTCATTATGCATTTGTGACGTAAATTGCGGATATTTGCATACCAAACAAACTGAAATATCAAAATAAGTTATTATATCATTTCAGAAGTTCTTAAAAATGAGATAATAAAAATAATTGATGTCAGGTGCACTTTAAAAGTTCGGTTCAGTGCTTATATTGACGTCGAACGAACGTCAGTAATCGGACGCGAGCTTTCAGTTTACGTAAGCGAGCTAGATAGCAGACTTTTAAAATGATACAGCTGTACAAAATCTCAATCTGGATGGTTCCAACAGGAAGCTAGATAATTAACCACAATACAAAGCGAAAATGTAGCGCAAACGTACGAATTTTGTAAACAAATTATGACCCTTTAACTTAAGAGAGCGCATTGCCAATTCCTTGATTTCCGAAAATACATCAAACCAAAATGACGACGCCGCAAATGGGGGCCCGGTCACGAGAACTAGGTCAGGCTTGCGATACTAAACGTGATAAGATAAATTTGATTGAAGAGCATAATTAGCGAGGAACGCTTACTAATCGGAATCTAGGCCTAGTGTGTTATCACACGAGCCATCATATCGCCAGTGTTAGAATATTCTGCTAAAACCGAATTTTTTCACGAAAATATTATTGTTATTTTTAATATTTAAAAATACTTTTTAGCACATTTTACGACGCACGACTTTACCCGCGACGCACGACTTTTT